GACATACTAGCATCTGCATCGTTGATTTCAGGATGCTTGGAGGGATGGTCTTATATCTTCAGATTTCCAGCTTCACCTGGGATGTAGTGTCAGAGACCAATCAATGTGATGTCCAAGGTGTGGGTACAAACACTTTTCCTCTGCTTCCCATTGAATGTGACATGTAACCTCTTCATGTCCACCATTCAGACAAGTCCCTGGTGATTATCTATTTCCTAACATTCTAATGATCCAAGTATCCTCTCATTCTTCCTTTTTGAACAGCATCCCTCTTTTTTTCCCCCAATTCCTTCCTATTCTTACCTGTGTGTCTATTTTTACCTCTATCCTTGGGGAATGGCAGTAACTATTTGACTATACAAAGGAGAGGTGACAGAAGGGAGGAAGCCAAGACAGGGGGTTCATGCCTTCTCATTTCTCTTGTGAGATCATGATGAACTGGCAGGTTTCTTCACTGGATATGGAGTTTGCAAAGGAAGTGCACAGGTAGGCCTGGGAGAGAGGCCTACCTGTGCACTTTGACTAAAATGCAGCCAAGACAAAAATGCATGTCCCACCTTCACCACTTCTAAGCCATCTGCAACTCGAAATCTCATTTTTCCTGTTCACTGTGCTGTGTCATCTATCTCTAAAACCTCACCTTTATTTTTGAAGAATAGATTTGCTGGATATAGAATTCTTGGTTGACAGTCATTTTCTTTCAGCACTTTGGTTGTATCATCCTATTGTTATAGCCTCCACGATTTCTAATAAGAAATCAGATTTAATTTTTTATTAACATGTATTCATTGTACAAATTAATAGGTTTCATTGTGACATTTCCATACCTGCATATATTGTGCATTGATCATATCTTCATATTCACTCTCCTTGAACTCTCTCTTCCCCTCCTATTCCCTCCTTGCTCCCTGACTCCCTTTCCAGTCTGTAATAGTCAACTTTTCTATTTTTAGGACATCCCTCCCCCCTCACCAGTTGCCACATATGAAACAAAGCATGGGATACTTGTTTGATTTATTTTGCTGAACATCTTGTCCTCTAGTTTCACCCATTTTCCTGCAAATGTTAGGATCACATCCTTTTTGAAAGTATGAATAATTCTCTACTCTGTATATATACTGTTTTGTTTTTTATTATTATCTGTTGATGGGCACCTAGGCTGATTCCATATATTGGTGGCTATTGTAAAAAGTGCTGCAATAAACATGGGTATGCAGGTGTTTATTTTGTATGCTGACATAGAGCCAATGAATATATAAAAAATCCTCAACATCTTAAGCCATTGGAAATGTACATCAAAATTGCATTGAGATTCCATCTCACCCTAGTTAGAATGACTATCATTAGAAAATCCCCCAAAATAACAAATGCTGGCAGGGATGTGGAGAAAATAGACTGTTAGTGGGAATATAAATTAGCACAGTCACTATGGAAAACAGTTTGAAGCTTCCTCAAAAAACTGTCCTGCTATCCAGCTATCCCACTTCTGGGTATATGTCTGAAGGAAATGAAGGCAGATGATAATTTTTAAAGCATCATTTATATGTGATGATTCACTTCTCCCTTTGCTTTCAAGATTCATTGTAGTTTGGTCATTTTTATAATGTGTATGGATCTGAGTTTACTCTACTTTGAATTTACTGAACTTCTTGGATTAATGTTTGGGAACTTTTCCAATTGCCTCAAATATTCTTTTGGCCATTTCTCTCTCTTTTCCCCTCTTTGGCCTTTCTCTGTGAGTTATGTATTTGTGTGAAGTAACTTTAGTATTATAGATATTAGTAGAGAATATTGGAATAAAAGAATTTGTGATTGCCTTTCTCACAGCTACCAAGTGAATCGTGAGTACTCAGTGAATTAAAGTAAATGAAATTGCTGTAGCTTGTGAATTTATTGCTATTTAATACATTTATTATTAGTGTATAACTAAGAAGTTTGGACATTTCTGTACATATACCCATACTGCCACTGTTATACTTAATTAGTTCCTTGTCATTTCCTAATCCATACTTCCTATCAAAATTTCCCAATAATATGAAAATAACATCTTTTGCAGGAAAGAAATGTATTTTGAGCTGAACATCTATTCAACACTTTCTCTTTCCTGGCTTGCCCAATTTCTGAGATATTGACAAAAGGACACTAGTTAGAATGTGAACAATTATTCTGAGATGAATGGACCAGCACTTTGTCAGCCTGGGTTTAGAAATTATGTCCTTGAATTTTTAGGGTTATAACATCAAAGCAAGAACTTGATGCCATAAAGCTCATTATGTGAGGCATGTCAACAGGACTGGGGCAAATCACTGTAAAAGAGAAAATAAAGGGTTAGAGGTCAAGCAAGTAAAATAGGAACCTTACATAATTTAATAATATTTTTTTGACAATATTTCTGACACAATTGATGAACCCAGCTGTGAGGATGTCAACTCCATTTTAAAAACTCCAGTTTGAAACCTGTAGTCTCACCAGGCATACTCACAGAGTCCTCCAGTATGGCCTCAAACAAGTTACTTCCTCTTACCCTGATAAACAAGAGTGAAGCCCATGGCAGGCTGTCCTCATGAGAAGATCAGGGTGGAGACCACCAGACCAGATATTTCAGAACCCATTGAGAAATCCGGAGGTAGCTGATAAGGATTGCAAGAGGGGTCAAAAAGCCTCCAAATTTAGTATAAATAATAGAGCTGATGAACAGGGACTCAGCCAGCGAAAACAAGAATGCACTCGAGCTGGAGAGCCTGTCATCACTTTTTATTGTTTCCTGATCCTCTGCTGGATCCTCACTACTCTCAAACTCTACCACCACATCTGGACCTTGGTGAGAGCCACAACTTCTCCCTACGACCCTCTCCTCAACCGGTCATCCACTCCATGCCAGGAAAAGCCTGCCTTGGCTCCGGACCTGGTCACTGCGGTCTAAGTGAGTGTGTATCTGCTGGACATAAAGCCTAAGGCTTGAGACTTTTGAACTTAGCATGCAGAGGGAATGTCTGTCATTAGCCTGTCATAATCGTGTTTTCAGTGCTTAGAATTAATCTAGAATTGTTTGCTCTGAATTAATCAATCTAGAATTGTTTGCTGTAAATTGATTATGTCTATTGCAGTGCCTAGCATTAAGGATTATCATTTTTTAAAGAACCCATAGAGTGAAATTGTATTGAGTAATTAAGTGAATAAAGCATTGAAAGAGGCAGAAGCACGTGGACATTCTTTATTTCTCTCCTCGACTGCATACGTTGCAATTTTGCCCCCTCATGACACAAGCCTAATTCCATTTTAAGATTGGAAGCCATCTCATCACAAAGTCATGAAAAGTTACTTTCTGTTTTACTATAAATTACTGCAATTTCTAAACTTGCTTGGAATACCTACCTGTGCCTTGAACTCACCCATGCCTGACTTTCCCTGACCAGATTACAACCCTCTCTGAAACCTTAGTGGCACATCATAAATTCTGGTTTTCCCTGACCAGATAACAACACTCTCTAAAACCTCAGCAGCACCTCATAAATTCTGGTGTTGGGATCTAAATTTACTCCTGAACTCGAAATGTTGAACCATTTAGATCATTAACCTACTATCTGCCTTTTAAATACTAAAGTTATTTAAATGACAAAATGTCTTTAAATTGATAGCAATTTATTTCACTCTTCTAAATATCATGCTTGTCAAAATCCTGTTATCTGTAAGTACTCAAGACACTCCCCTTTTGCAACTTTTTGTTTTATAAAACCATGCTCCTAGAGTGCTGGGGTATGTCCTCTAGCCCATGGATTTCGGGAAACAGTCCCGGCTGGCAGGAATTACAAGCTTGCTTTAATTTGATTTTAAATTGCAGTCAGTGGTCTTTTCTTTGCATCCTAGTTTAACAAGTAGAAAAGCACCACAGGGCAAGCATTATTAAAGCAGGGTTTATTTAAAAAGGGGTAACATAGACTTCTCTTGGGAGGGAGAAGAGGGCCATAGCTGGTATCCTGGTATCCCCAGAAGGGAAGCACTCTGCCCTTTTTATATTTCCTAGGCTTCCTTTGTTCTCCTTCCAGCTTAAGTGACTGGCCCAGGAATGGCTCACAGCCCAGGAATGTCAGGGTGGGATGGCCAAAGGGTGGGAAACAGGTGGGCTGGAGGGGGAAGGGCAGAATGGTGCAGCCCTGGACACATTAATTGACAACTTTATAGCTGCCTGTAGGGAGGGGGCAATTCCTGGGTCAGGAATAGGTTACAATACCTTATCAATAGGTTGGAGCAGGGGCTGGTTCTTGATAAAGGTGGAGGAAGAGCTCTGAAGGAATTAACATTTCAATCCCTCAGGGTACCATCTCCAACTTACCTTTACCTAACTCATTCAAAATTGGCCTCCAAGATTTGACTTGACTAGATTTACCTTATCTATGACTGCCTAAATCTGGCTTCATTAGCACTGCAGACTCTCCTTTCAACATTCCAAAAGTGCAAAACGATATACACTAAAATTTTTTAAATGAGAAAATGTCTTTAAATTGATAGCAATTTATTTCTAAATCTTCTAAAACTTCTAAATCTCAGTGATGCCCTGTAAAAAAACACTTTTACCACCCTCATTATACCTATCACCAGTCGCCACAATGGATCCCTCTCCGTTCCCAGTGCCACAATCATCCTCTCCAAACAAAATACCACGCACCAGGAAAAACCCGTTTTCATCTCCTGGACTGCTCAGTAGACTCTAGGATAACCCAGCCACACCCTGCTGATTTTGGCCAACACCAAAAAAGCAGCGGCGCCTCGCGGCAAAGCTCAGCAATACACACCCTCCTTCTGTTTCCCGGATTGGCCTGCTGCATGAGCGTTGCTAAGCAATCGTGCAAAGACCCCAGGGAGGGCTGCCCGGTCGGATGCCTGAAGGACCCGGCAGGGCCGCTCAGGCTAACTAGCGCAGTGCCTAGAGGCTTGGTATTGCGTCTGGAGGATCGCGTGAACTGCGACCCGGCCTGGTGGGTTCTGGAGCAGAGGCGGGGAACCTGCGGGAGTGGGTGTGTGTGGCCACTGGTGCCTGGGAGGAGGCGGAGTTGAGTGGCTGCAAGTCCCTGCAGCTAGCGGGAGAATGAGGAGCTTGATGCTGCTCTCAAGGATGAGCGGTGGCCCCCTCAGGTCTGCCTAGGCAACTTTTAAAATTCTAATTTTCTCTGTGTGTGTGTGTGTGTGTGTGTGTGTGTGTGTGTGTGTGAGAGAGAGAGAGAGAGAGAGAGAGAGAGAGAGAGAGAGAGAGAGAGAGAGATGGAAGGGACGGGGAGGCGGGCAGGCAGGCCTAGGCAACTTTAAAAATTTAATTATAATGGAGTGACTTTTAAGTTGAGTACGTTTCTCAACTTAACATTTGTTTTAAATCAAAATCCAAGTAGCCATAACCTAACTGGTGTTGGGAAAGGAACCACATCCTTTCTACAGGTCCTATATCCTCCCCTGGACACTCCCTCAGGTCTCTCCCCACTAAACCCCAGCAGCCTAGCATAACTGGATCCGGTTCTTTCACTGATTTATTCAGCAAATACTGTTGAGAAGCATCTATGTTCTAGGCACTTTGAATAGGGGCACTGATTCGAATCTGCTTTCAAAGAGCTGCCTTCTAGTGGGAGAAGATATGCAAGTATGCAAGGATATGGAAGTATGCAAGGAACTGTGAGAAAGTAATGGGGGAAGTGAGCTAAGATCTAGTGAGCCAGTAGGAGGTAACCAAAGAAAGCATGGGTGAATCTGAAAATGCCACACCAAGGCATTTCTTTCAGGCTAGAAAGTCTTTGGAACTGAAAGGCTCATGAGGCTGGAGTTAAAGTTAAAGAGTGTGAGGTTCCAGATGAGGCTAGAGATGTATCCAGAAACCAAATCATGCAAAGCCTGGTAAGCCATGATAAGGATTTTGGAGCTTATTGTAAGAGCAGGGTATATCTAAAGGGTTAAGAAGGGGAATAATATGATTCACTTTGCATTTTTAATTCACTGTGTCTTCTGTGAGAACAAACTTAGAGAGTGGCAAGACTAGAAATTGGGAAGCCAGTAAAGAAACTGTCACAAAAGTCTAAGGAGGAATAGTGGTGTCCTAGTCTCAGGTGATAGCAGTTCAGGGGAGATGTAGTGGGTGGGTACAATTATCAGAATGTGGTAATATGGAGAATGAGGGACTGGAAGTTACCTTCTGGGTTATTAGGTTGAGTAAGTTGGCTGCTTTTGTACTGGTTAGACTGGGTTTGGCTTCATAGTTGGAACATCAGGTTGAATGCTGTAGAAAAAAACATGAAGAGATTGTAGCATAGGTTTTATTTGGTCTAGACCATAGTATCACCTCTAACGTGATTGTTATGCCAAAAGAAATGAGAATGTTGTCCAGATTCTCTGCCTGTGTGTATTCATGGAAACCTCTGTATTTGTTGCTAAATTAGAAATAATATTGAGATACTATTTTGAGGCTTTGCCTTTTCTCATGCAGAGATGATCAGTTTCTCACATGTAAATAGAATTTCACAGTTGGACGGGACCTCAAATTGGTAGTCTCCTGTTTGTAAAATATTTTTATGTTATATCTTTTCCACAATTATTTATTGAGCTTTTGCACGATGTTAGACACTAGGAATACAAAGATGAATAGAAATATGACTATACAGATTTAGGTCATCAATAAAATTGATGGAGCATCTTTGTATCAGGCTGTTTCAGTTGCTTCAGATATAGTTACAACTAGTCCCTGATCTTGAAGTTTCAAGTCTATAAGCGTGACCACTGAGGATGCTGAACATATTAATTTGATTTGGGCAGGGAAGATATTGACCTATCCATATTAAATAAGAGATGGTAGATTGCCAGCAGACATCCCAATTCTTGTGAATCAGTCTTCTAATTCTACAATAGACGGGGTAGCACTATGGGATAGAAGTCTTTAAGAGTGGAATCAATCATTTTACTCTTGTGGCTAGGCTGTTCAGGAATGTAATTATAAAAATTGTATAAAATACAGAAGAAAGTTTGGAAGGGAAGAGAGAAGAGTATTGGCAAAGACAGGTAGTGTTTAAGCAAATTTCTCTTAAATGAGTAACTTCTTTATGGCTTTACCATTGTACAAACTATACTCCATAGGGTAACCTGAGTGTCCCCTCTACCACTTCTATGAGTCCAAATAGGCAAGTAAATAAGTAATGTATACAGCCTGATAAGGTAACTGTCAGGTGATTTTTGAGTATTAGGAGTAAGGGGCAGTGGTTGACTTGTGAGGTGGGTAGCTTACAGAGTAGAAAGGGGTGGGAGTATAGCACTGGTGGATCCCTAATCCAGTTCTCTGATGGCAGGAGTGAGATGACCTCAATCTTGCGAAGCCCTAAGGCTCTGCAGCTTACTCTAGCCCTGATCAAGCCTGATGCAGTTGCTCACCCATTGATTCTGGAGGTAAGAATGAATGTTAAGCCCCTACTGTATGCCCTGGGCATTGATACCATTTCATGTGCTTCGGGGACATTTGTGACTACCAAGAACCCCTGTGCTAGGTGCTGCAGAGGCAAAGCTAGGAGCCATGAACTCTGATCCTAAGGAGACTGAAATTCTCTTGGAGACTTGGGGCGTATTTAAAATAAAAGAAAGGACCCAATATAACAATAATAAAAAAAGGACCTCAAGTTAATATATACTACTGCACTACAAAACGTTACTACAAACTTGACAGTTTAAAACAACATTCATTTATTACCTCACAGTTTTATAGTTTAGAGGTCCTGTAGATTTGGCTGGGTCTCACAAGGCCAAAGTCAAGATATGGATTGATTGAGCCTTTATCTGGAGTATCTAGGGAAGAATCCACTTTTAGGCTTGCTAAGGTTGTTGGCAGAGTTTATTTCCTGTGATTACAGGACTAAAGACTCGTTTACTTGGTGGAACTACTCTCTGTTTCTAGACCACTTCCATTTCTCATCACATAGCCTTCTCCATCTTTAAGACAGCAACAGTGTATCTAATCCTTCACATGCCTCAAATTCCCCTGACTTCTTTAGCTCCTAGCCAGAGAAAATTGCTTTAAAAGGGCACATGTAACTAATTAGGTTCAGCTGGATAATCTTTCTTTACATTAAAGCAAAGTGCACTGATTAGTAAGTAACCTTAATTACATCTGCAAAATCCCTTTTATTATGAAATGTGACTTAATGATATTTTATTTATTCACTGTCCTGGGGATTAAAGTTGGCTGTCTGCCTGATAATAAATTTTACAGATTTTTAGTGGTATTTTGAAATGGTGGAACTGAACAACATTAACAAGAGAGTATAGAATCAGGATGAGAGTAGAATGACAAAACCTTAATGAACGCTAATATTGAAGAAGTGGTTCAAATAAGAAATAGACACAGGGAGGGATCATTTTTAGGATTCTAGTACCCATAGTTTGATTAAGTAATTGCTGAGGACCAGTGCTCAGTAAGCTCATTGTGGTGCAGAGGAAGACCAGAGCAGTCTGGAATAGTGACCTGAAAGTGGTGAGTCTTGACTAGGTCTCAAAGGAGGCATAGATTTTGGTTAGTGCCAGAAGAAGGATAAGTGTTCCACAGAAGGGACAGTCTGTGGTGTGTCTGAGGGCTGTAGGTGGCCTGGGCTAGTATAGAGAATTAGAAATGGTAGTGGACAAGGATAGTGCAGCCTTGAGCACTGGGCTGCTCTTCATTCCATGAATAATAGGAACTACCAAAAACCTGACCATAATATAACATAAGCTGTTTGAATCTGTCAAGTGTGTTGGTTTGGAGAGAATGAGAGAAACTCAAAAGCAGGACCATCAACAAGACTTTTATGGTGATCTGTGTGGTCGGTCCTGTGGGCTTGAACTCAGGGGCTGAGGAATGGAGGGGCAGAAACAGAACTTTCTATCCCCTTGCACTTAAGACTCACACTCTGGCTATGTGACTGGAGGTTTTGATCTCACCCCACCTTCTTTCTTTTCTGTCCTGCTATGTTAGCTATCTGAGGCTGTAACAAAATACCTGAGGTAAAAAAATTTTTTTTTTAGAGAGAGAGAATTTTTTAATATTTATTTTTTAGTTCTCGGCGGACACAACATCTTTGTATGTGGTGCTGAGGATCTAACCCAGGCAGCATGCATGCCAGGCGAGCGCGCTACCACTCGAGCCACATCCCCAGCCCCAAAATATATTTATTTATTTATTTATTTTTACGTGGTGCTGAGGATCGAACCCAGAGCCTTGCACATGCTAGGTGAGCGTGCTACCACTGAGCCACAGTCCCAGGCCCTGAGGTAAAAAATTTAAAAGGAGGAAAGATTTATTTGGGTTCATGATTTTAGAGCTTCAGCCCATGGTACTTGGCTTTGTCACTTTGGGACTATGATGAAGCAGAACATCATGATGGGGAGTGGAGCAAAGCTGCTTACATCATGACATCTGGGAAGTGAAAAAGAGAGAAGGGGTCTGGGTCCTTAATGATACTAACTTCCCTTCAACAACCTCCTAAAGTTTTTACTGCTTCCCAATAGCGCTAACAGCTGGGGAAAAAGCCTTCAACCAATGAGCTCCTGGGGGGACATTTAAGTTCCCAACCATAACACCTGGGTCTCCTGATTGATTTTTTTTTTTTATCTTTGGTGTGGTGTTTATCCAGGCTGTTCATCAGCAGATTCTGACCAACAAGTTCCTTATTGTACGAATGAGAGAACTACTATGGAGAAAGGAAGATTGCCAGAAGTTTTATAAGGAACATGAAGGTAGGACTGATAGTCGATAGTCTTCTGAGTGGAAGGCTTCTCAATCCCAAGAGTCTGATCAGATTTTCCCTGGAATATCTGATGTTCCAGGCTTTCTCTGACCTATCAGTTGTGTAAAATTGCAATGAATCTTTATTTTTTTTTAAATATTTTCAGTTGTTATTTTATTTATTTATTTTTATGAAATGTGACTTAATGATATTTTTAGAAGATTGAACCCAGTGTCTCGCAAGTGCTCTACCAATGAGCTACAACCCTATCCCTGCAACCAATTTTATAAAGTCTTGGTTTTTACTGAAACTTTTCATGATTATCATTATTTTATTTTCCTAGGAGGGTTCTATCTCATAGTCTTAATCAGAAATAATTTTATGTCCTGATGATATTATCAGTAGTTAACATTTAGTAACTATTTTTTGGTCATTATTCTAATGCTTATTATTTCATTTAATTATTCCCAACAATGCTAAAAAGTAGGTATATTTATATCTCCAGTACACAGATTAGGAAACAGCAGGGAGGTTAATGACTTATTTGAAACTACAGAGGTTGTAAGTAGTAGAGCCTAGATTCAGGTGCAGAAATGTCAGACTCTAAGCACCACCCCCCCCCCCCCCCCCCCCCCCCCCCCCCCCCTTTTTCCCTTCCGTCTCTAAAGCAGTGTTTATTATTTCAGGTAAGGAAGTAGTAGTAGAAAAATTTATCTTGGGCACCTGTATCTTCATGAAGGTACTTCTCTTTGCAGGCCGTTTTTTCTATCAGCGACTGGTGGAGTTCATGGCCAGGTACTTCTAATTTAGTCTTAGCATCTTTATCTACTAGGTGTATCTCCTCTGCTCATAAATAGAATTGTTAACTTCATTTACCCTCTTTAAAGTTATAATCAATATCAAGTATGAGGAAGCAGAGCATGGGGCTCTGATTAAGCTAACATTGACCTTTTATACACATTGTCACGTTGGTTACTGGACCAGTGACTCTAAGAGTATTGTTGAATGCTGCCTGGCAACTCTGCTTATCTGTGTGGTTCTTATACACCAGCAGTGGCCCTCTATCAACTTCTCTTTGAAGCAGCATTGGTTCTGAGCTATAAAGGCAATGAAACTCTCAGGATGCAGTATGCCTTTACTTATGAACTGCTTATAGAATGCTCTCGGTGGTCAGATTCTTTACATGTGTTCCTTTTGTTCACAGTGGGCCAATCCGAGCTTATATCCTTGCTCACAAGGATGCCATCCAGCTTTGGAGGACACTGATGGGACCCACCAGAGTGTTTCGAGCACGCCACATGGCCCCAGATTCAATTCGTGGGAGTTTTGGCCTCACAGACACGCGCAACACCACCCATGGCTCAGGTGAGACTATCTCCCTTGTTCAGAGCCATAAATAAGGAAGGATGTGTTGGGGTTCGTAGTTGGGCTATATGGTAAGGTTGATAGCCATGTTCCTTCAATGAGCTTTCTTTCTATTTATGTTTCTGGCCCTTTGTAGCCATTTCAGCTGATTTGGCCTGTGGGTTTTCTTTACATGCCCCAGGCCTGAGGGAGTAGACTTAGGTTTCTGAACTTGATTTTGATTATCTTTTGCCTGTACCCTGTACTCCCCGTGAGGATCCTCATCTATTTTTACCTTCCCTTGTAGACTCTGTGGTTTCAGCCAGCAGAGAGATTGCAGCCTTCTTTCCTGACTTCAGTGAACAGCGCTGGTATGAGGAGGAAGAGCCCCAGTTGCGCTGTGGTCCTGTGTGCTACACAGAGGGAGGCATCCACTGTGCAGCTGGAACAGGAGGCCCAGGACCAGCCTGAAGAGGGCCTATCAATCTATGAAGATTGGTAGCAATTCCTAGACTTTTCTCCTAGATCTCTGGTCCAGAACATTCTCATGGGACCAGGGAAGCCTGGGCTCATGGTGCTATTTCTACTTGGCATCACTACTTGCTAGAGGGCCTAGGTCATCACTGCAGAGCCTTTAGAATCTAGCTGTCTACCTCTTCCCTAGAATGTTCATGGGTTGTTTTTTTTTTAAAAAAAAAAAAAACAACCTGAGAAGTATTCATCCTTCTTCAAGGAAGAGCTTGCCTAATTGACCTGCCTGGAAAATACAGTGACTATGTAAACAACATTTAGCTTGTCTTCCTTAATAAAAGTCAGTGTTCTGAATTCTCAGAAGTGTCAGTACTACTCTAGGAGCTTGCTCTTTCCTTAATTGTAGTAATTAGATCTTCCTTGAAGCTAGGTTTCAGGTCTGTGCTAAGTAAAGAGACTGACACACACATACACATGGTGGGCAGTTTATGTAGCAGGAAAAACACCCAGCAATGGAGCTTAATGTAGACTCAAATCCATGCTATGACCCTAGCACAGGGCTGTGTTCTGGAGAAAGTGACACCTTTTATTTGAACTCAGGTATCTGCCAGTGAGGCATGTATTTTTTTTTTTAAATTATTCTAATTTGATATATATGACAGCAGAATGCATTTCAGTTCATAAAACACATATAGAGCACAATTTTTTATGTCTCTGTTTGTACACAAAGTAGTCACACCATTGGTGTCTTCATACATGTACTTGGGGTAATGTCCATCTCATTCCACTGTCTTTCCTAACCCTCTGCCCCCTCCCTTCCCTTCCCTTCTTCCCTTTGCCTTATCTAAAGTTCCTCCATTCCTCCCATGCTTCCCCTGCCCCCCATCCCTATTGTAGATCAGCATCCTCATATCAGAGAAAACATTTGGCATTTTGTTTTTTGGGATTGGCTTACTTAGCACAATGTTCTCTGACTCTATCCATTTACCTGCAAATGCCATGATTTTATTCTCTTTTAATGCTTAGTAATATTCCATTTTGTGTGTGTGTGTGTGTGTGTGTGTGTATCACAGTTTCTTTATTCATTCATCTACTGAAGGGTATCTAGGTTGGTTCCACAATTTAGCTATTGTGAGTTGTGCTGCTATAAACATTGATGTGGCTGCATTACTATAGTATGCTGTTTTTAAGTCCTTTAGGTATAAACTGAGGAGTGGGATGGCTGGGTCAAATGGTGGTTCCATTCCATGTTTTCCAAGGAATCTCCATACTGGGTCCAGATTGGCTGCAACAATTTGCAGTCCCACCAATTTGTAATGTATGAGTGTGCCTTTCTCCCCAGATCCTTGCCAACACTATTTTGTTTGTATTCTTAATAGCTGCTACTCTGGAGTGAGATGGAATCTTAGAGTAGTTTTGATTTTCATTCTCTAATTGCTAGAAAGATGTTGAACATTTTTTCATATATTTGTTGATTGATTATATATCATCTGAGAAGTGTCTGTTCAATTTCTTGGCCCATTTATTGATTGGGTCATTTGTTTTTTTGGTGTTAAGGTTTTTGAGTTCTTTATATATCCTAGAGATTAGTGTTCTCTCTGTGTGGTAAAAATTTGCTCTCATTCTGTAGGCTCTCTATTCACCTCACTAATTGTTTCTTTTGCTGAAAAGAAGCTTTTTAGTTTGAATCCATTCCATTTATTGATTCTTGATTTTTATTTCTTACTCTATAGGAGTCTTATTAAGGAAGTTGGGGCCTAATCCAACATGTTAAAGATTTGGGCCTACTTTTTCTTCTGTTAGGCTCAGGGTTTCTGGTTTAATTCCTAGGTCCTTGATCCACTTTGAGTTGAGTTTTGTACATGGTGAAAGATAGGGGCTTAATTTAATTTTGTTACATATGGATTTCCAATTTTCCCAGCACCATTTGTTGAAGAGGCTATCCTTTCTCCAATATGTTTTTGATGCCTTTCTCTAATATGAGATAACTATATTTATGTGGCTTTCTCTCTGTGTCCTCTACTCTGTACCATTGGTCTACAAGTCTATTTTGGCACCAATATGATGCCGTGTTTGTTACTGTTGCTCTGTAATATAGTTTAAGATCTGGTATAGTGATGCCTCCTGCTTCACTTTTCTTGCTAAGGATTGCTTTAGCTATTTTGGGTCTCTTATTTTTCCAGATGAATCTTATGATTGCTTTTTCTACTTCTATGAGGAATGTCTTTGGGATTTTGATTGGAATTGCATTAAATATGTATAATGCTTTTGGTAATATGATCATTTTGACAATATTAATTCTGCCTATCCAAGAACAAGGGAGATCTTTGTTTCAGAGGATTTGTCACTGATGTACAGAAATGCTTTATGATTTATGGGTGTTGATTTTATATCCTGCTACTTTGCTGAATTCATTTATTCTAGAAGTTTCCTGGTGGAATATTTCGGATCTTCTAGCTATAGAATAATATTGTTGGCAAATAGTGATAATTTGAGTTTTTCTTTTCCTATTTCATATCCCTTTAATTTCTTTCATCTGTCTAATTGCTCTGGCTAGAGTTTCAAGAACAATGGTAAATAGCAATGGTAAAAGAGGATATCCCTGTCTTGTTCCAGTTTTTAGAGGGAATGCTTTCAGTTTCTCTCTGTTTAGAATGATGGTGGCCTGGGGCTTAGCAAAATAGCTTTTTCAATGTTGAGGTATGTTCCTATTATCCCTTGTTTTTCTAGTGTTTTGGACATAAAGAAGTGCTGTATTTTGTCATATGCTTTTTCTGCATCTATTGAGATGATCATATTATTCTTATCCTTAAGTTATAATTACATTTATTGATTTCTGTATGTTGAACCAACCTTGCATCCCTGGGAGGAAACCTACTTGATCATGGTGCATTATCTTTTTGATGTTTTTGTATTTGATTTGCCAGAATTATTATTGAGAATATTTGCACCTATGTTCATTAGTCTGAAGTTTTCTTTCTTTGATGTGTCTTTGTCCGGTTTTGGAATCAGGGTGATATTGGCCTCATAGAATAAGTTTGGAAATGTTCCCTCTTTTTCTATTTCATGAAATAAGTTGAGGAGTATTGGTATTAGTTCTTCTTTGAAGGTCTTATAGAACTCAGCTGTGTATCCATCTGGTCCTGGGGTTTTTTTTATTGGTAGGCTTCTGATGGTGCCTTCTATTTCACTGCTTGAAATTGATCTGTTTAACTTGTGTATATCATCCTGATTCAGTTTGGGCAAATCATCTGACTCCAGAAATTTGTTGATGCCTTTGACATTTTCTATTTTATTGGAGTACAAGTTTTCAAAATAATTTCTAATTATTTTCTTTATTTCTGTAGTGTCTGTCATAATATTTTATTTTTCATTACCGATGTTAGTAATTTGAGTTTTCTCTCTCCTTCTCTTTGTTAGCATGGCTAATGCTTTATCAATTTTATTTATTTTTTTCAAGAACCAACTTTTTGTTTTGTCAATTTTTTCAGTGGTTTCTTTTGTTTCAATTTCATTGGTTTAGCTTTGATTTTAATATTTTCTGTCTTTTACTGCTTTTGGGATTGATTTGTTCTTCTTTTTCTAGGGCATTTATTTGTGGACTTTTTCTTCTTTGAAGGAATGAACTCCATGCAATAAACTTTCCTCTTAGTATTGTTCATAGATTTTGATCAGTGTTCTCATTTACCTCTAAGAATTTTTAAATTTCTGTTTTTTAATTTCCTGTTTGATGTCTTTTGCAACCCATTGTTCATTGAGTAGCATATTATTTAGTCTCCAGGTATTGGAGTAGCTTCTATTTTTTATTATTACTGATTTCTAATTTCATTCCATTATGATCTGATAGAATGCATGGTAGTATCTCTATTTTTTTTGTATTTGCTAAGATTTGCTTTTTGGCATAATGTATGGTCTATTTTAGAGAAGGATCCATGTGCTGCTGAAAAGAAAGTCTATTCACTTGTTAATGGATGAAATATTCTGTATATGTCTGTTAAATCTAAATTATTGATTGTATTATTGAGTTCTATAGTTTTTTTTTTTTTTTTTTTTTTTTAGCTTTTGTTTGGAAGATTTATGCAGTGGTGAAGGAGGTGTGTTAAAGTTATCTTTGTGTTGTGGTCTGTTTGACTCTTGAACTTGAGAAGAGTTTGTTTGATGAATGTAGATATGCCATTGTTTGGGGCATATATATTTATAATTGTTATGTCTTGTGGAGACCCCTGCTTGTTTCCACAGTCCATGTTAGTGATACGTTTTTTCCCCAACCTTTCACCTTTAGTCTGTGGATGTCTTTTCCTATGAGATGAGTCTCTTGAAGGCAGCATATTATTGGGTCTTTTTAAAAAATTCAATCTGCCAGTCTATATCTTTGGATTGGTGAGTTTAGGCCATAAACATTCAGGGTTATTATTGAGACATGATTTGTATTCCCAGTCGTATTTGTTTATTTTTGGTATTTGATGTCTTAGTTTCTCCTTTGATTAGTATTTCCTTTAGTGTAATTCTTCCCTTTGCTGATTTTCATTGTTTTTTTTTTGTTTCCTCTTCATGGAATATTTTGCTAAGAATGTTCTATAATGCAAGCATTCTAGTTGTAAATTCCTTTAACTTTTGTTAATCATGGAAGGTTTTTATTTCATCATCAACTCTAAAGCTTAATTTTGCTGGATATAAGATTCTTGGTTGGTGTCCATTTTCTTTCAGAGCTTGGTATGTGTTGATCCAGGATCTTCTAGCTTTCAGGGTCTGGGTTGAAAAATCTCCATAGCCTAATTGGTTTCCCCCTATATGTAATCTGATTCCTTTCTCTTGTGGCTTTTAAAATTCTCTCCTTATTTTGTATGCTAGACATTTTCATTATAATGTGCCTTGGTGTGGATCTGTTGTGATTTTGTACACATGGTGTACTATAAGCCTCTTGTATGTGATTTTCCAAGTCATTCTTCATGTTTGGAAAAATTTCTAGTATTATTTCATTGAATAGATTGTTCATTCCTTTGGTTTGGAGCTTTATGCGTTCCTCTATTCCAATAATTCTTAAATTTGGTCTTTTTTTTGTTATCCCATTATTGTTGAATGTGTTGCTCATGGTTTCTTACCATCTTTACTGTGTGGTCAACATTCTTTTCAGTATTATATATTTTATCTTCACTATCTGAGGTCCTGTCTTCCAAGTGATCTAATATGTTGGTGATGCTTTCTATTGAGCTTTTAATTTTGTTTATTGTTTCTTTCATTTCAAGTATTTGTTTTTTTTTTCAGAACCTCTTTCTCCTTATTGAAGTAATCTTTTGCTTCCTGTATTTGCTTATGTAGCTCTTTATTGAAATGATCTTTTGTTACCTGTGTTTGCTCTCTTA